TCTTTCACAAAAATAACATAAACAGCCGATGAGCTGTGTGATCAATTTATAGAAGAAGCTGTGTGCATATGAGATTTTTAACATTGGCTACTAACGTCCGTAGCAAACTTAACATTGAAATTTCAACACCAACTTCTCTGGCTTTATGCTAACACGCGATATTCGTCGTAAACGTATTATATCATGCACAATTTGAGGACATTTTGTTTAAAAGGACGGACACTTTGTATACTCCGTAGTATATAATACCAGGACCGTATATGATACCTGGGCCGTGGCTTGAGCAAATGGTGGAGGAACAGGGTGCAAACTTTGGGGTACCCTACCTCAACTGGCATATACCGTCCCGCATGCGCACATAAAAATCTGGCCCTATAATTTATTACAAGTTTTAAAGAAAAGGACTAGCCATTCATTTATCAAAGTAAGACATTGAGATCAACATTTTGCGTATCAAAATTTTTCCTGAGTTTTTGCTCGCTACGTTATGCGTTTAATAACAACAAAATTATATATATGCACTTAGTTCGTTTGGCACATACAATAATTCTTATGTGCGACACTAGCGCCGACCGACGGCAAGGAAAGTGCAATAATTTCACGCGGGTGTTGCGGGTGTTGCGCGGTTGTTGCGAGGATTTTAAGAAGATTGGGCACTACGTAATATTGGTTAAATGATGCAATAAAGTCGACCTTTTTCATTAAAAAATCGCTCCTGGATGTGTCCCCTCAGTTTTACACCGGTAACTTTAACAAAACGTGGGATTACTATCGTCCCGCTATAGGGGTATGCACCGACAAATCGGACCCGGTATTCTAGCCCATATTTTAGAGAAGTACGAAAAGCTCGGTGCGTTATTATTATGAAAGTAGGGCATTGAGATGAACTATTTTCATATCAAATTACACCTGGGTTTGTGTTATCTACGTTACATGTGTAATTCCAACAAAATTATGCAGTCAGCATAATTTTCGTCAGCCAATCTCATACTCGAGAGGGGCGGGCCCACGGCACATGTGCATGCATAGTCAAATTCGATCTACAAAGTTCACTTTGCTCGCAGCTTCCGGCCACATATCTCCAGCTATGTAAATGTACATAGCAATGGCGCTAACGTCGCCGGCTTGATGGCTGCTTGATGACTCACATTTATTTTAGCAGTAATTGCAATTATTAGGCTCATGTTTTAATTTTTATCTGACATCTAGAGCGGGGCTGCCCCTGAAGACTGCGTCAGTACAGCCGACTGCGTTTTTAGATTGCATGTATAAATAATGTGTTTTATTAATAAAATTAAAGAGACGTCTGCATACATAGGCTCAATATATATTTATTTGTCCCTATCTACTATCTAAACTCTATGGAGTGAATAGATAGTGAAAATTGTATAAGAAATGTACAAAGGATCAAAAACTACAGTGAGAAGAGCGTTTGGAGCATTTGGAGACACAACAGCATTCGATGTGAAGGTGGGTCTGCACCAGGGGTCAGCACGTAGCCCCCTTTCTGTTCATTCTGGTGATGGATGTGCTGAGCGCAGAGCTGAGAGAAACTGATGGATGGGAGTTGTTATTACCTCCGCCCAACGGAGTTAGAGGAGGTTATGTTTTCGCTCTCGTGTGCGTGTGTTCGTGTGTTAGTGTGTTCGTGTGTTCGCGCGATCGATATTAGCGCGTCAGCCAGCGAGCCAGCGAGCCAGCCAGCCAGCGCAGCGAGCCAGCGAGCGTGTACATGTGAGCGAGCAGCAGCAACGAGCGGCTGCTACGAGCGAGCGAGCAGCAAGCCAGCAAGCCAGCGTGTACATGTCAGTACGCTGGCGTATATCGTGGCTTATTCGTGTGTTCGTCAGTCGTATGGCGTATGGCGTATGTCGCTGGCGGAGGTATGCACTCTCCGTGAGTGCACTCTGTCTAGTTTGTCGATGATCTTGCAATAGTGGCGGACACTGAAGAGGAGCTACAGGAGAGAGTGCTGGAGTGTCAGGAAAGTTTACAGGGAAAAGGGCTGAGAGTAAATGCACGTAAGTCAGAGGTAATGATAAGCAGTAAGATGGGAGGTGAACGTGGATGGGATAGGCCTACAGATAGTCGACAGCACCAAAGTAGAGATAATGCAGGTAAACAAATTCAAGTACTTGGGAGCGACGATAGCGGAAGCAGGAGGATGCGAAGTTGAAATTCCGGATAGAATAATGGCAGCATGGAGAAAATGGAAAGAGCTTTCAGAAGTGGTGTGTGTGTGTGTGTGTGTGTGTGTGTGTGTGTGTGTGTGCGTGTGTGTGTGTGTGTGTGTGTGCGCGTGTGCGCGAATGT